CCTCTGCTTACCTAAGTCTCGGTTCTGGCTTGAGTTTCCTTTCAGATTCATGATTGATTTGCGTCTTATCTCGAATTTCTATGGCGATTTTGAGGTTTATGTGTGTTGCGAGAGTCTTAAGAATCCTAGATCTCGAAAAACTTGTTCCGAGTTTCTTGCTCATTCATTAGTTACTGGAGCTGGAATTTATAGCAGATACGGTGTCTCTCTAACTGCAATTATAATAATATCAACACTTGTTTCTGATTTTAGAAGAATCTTACAAAGGTTTTGAGTTAATGGATCTTCGGATTTATGTTCAATCCGGATTTACCGATACTAAACTTTCTCTTAGGAGCCGTGACCAGGCTAGAATTTGGCTAGAAACTTGTATTTCGTGCGACTAATCCCGTCTAAAGTTATTGGGACTACTATATAGTGTATTCTTTTATAATTTGGTAGATTGTTGGAAATGAGTTCTTGGTGTTTTTTAGCTGTATCAACAACTTCTCTATTGAAGTTTCTCGCTGGCTATGAGTATGTGGTCTTAATATATTTTGTTATTGTAGAAAGGAGCTGGTGGGGCTGGAAGGGTTCCTGCGTCATCTAAGCCAGTTGGATTTGGCAATAACCTTGATGCTACAGTCGATATTCCATTGGATACGTTGAATGTAAGAACATTAGTATCTCAACACTCATGCCCGTTTCTCACTTGAATTTCTCTGAATTTTTGTGTGTGTGTAATTGGTGCAGGACTCTTCAAAGAAGCAGAGAGAGCTTTCTGATTGGGAAGCAGAACTTAAGAAGAGAGAAATGGTTAGTATCAGTGATCTCGGTCGGTTAACATTAGTTTGACTGAATCTGCTACGCCTGATGTTAATAGTTCGTTTTCACTCTGTTTCTTGGCATTTTGCTGATTTGGTTTTTTCATGTATCTCTGATTAACCCAGGATATTAAACGAAGAGAAGAAACTATTGCTAAATGTAAGTCAACATGACCTTCGTGACACACTATTTTCTATTAAAAACAGAAATTTTGAATCTTGTGCTGCTTTATTGCTAATGAAACACATCAAATTGTGTCACAGCTGGCGTGAAGATAAATGATAAAAACTGGCCACCCTTTTTCCCAATTATACACCACGATATTGCAAACGAGATACCAGTTCATGCACAAAAAATGCAATATCTAGCCTTTGCTAGTTGGTTGGGTAGGTTTTATTGATTTCCATCTATCCTATTTATGAACTGTATAAAGAGTCCTCAGCAGTGAACTGATGGACTTGTTACTGCTCGAGTTTCGAATTTTCAGGTATAGTTTTGTGTCTCGTATTCAATGTCATTGCAGTGGCAGTCTGCTGGATTAAAGGCGGAGGTGGGATTTTATACTATAACAAGTCACCCTATCAAGGGAACTATATTATGGTGTTGTGTTTAGACTTGGTTGAGCAAATGCTAGTTTTAAATTTGAGTGGCAGGTGTTAAAATCTTTTTTCTTGCTACGATCTATGCGTTGCTTGGATGTCCAATTTCATATGTATTATGGTACAGGCCCCTCTACCGAGCAATGAGGTGATGCCCCGTTTATCTAACTATCCCTGGACTAAGTCATATTGACACTGTGTCTATAACTGAATTTTTTTCTTATCAAGTTGCAGCACTGACAGTGCTTTGAAGTTTGGTTTGTTTTTCTTCTTCTACCTGGTGAGCTTACTGAAAAGAACTGTCATCTTTAGATTCACATTTTTTCTCCAGTCTATTCTGGTATACTCTCTATTTTCTGTATAATTGAACTTAGCTCTTAACAGATTCATATTGGCTTCTGCATATTTGCCGCCATTGCTCCTCCGATTATTTTCCAGGGACAATCATTCACGTAAGTCTTTCCTCCGTTTTGAATTCTTCTCGTTCTCGAGCTCTAAAATGCTTCATGTATAGGCAAGGGTCTCATTTAGAAACTTGTAAGCTGTTCTGATAGATCTGAAATATCGAGTTATAAGTAGCGATGAGAACTAGAGAAAGTAAGAATCTTAGTTCGTGTTTTGACTGGTAAGACATTTGGAAACATCATTTCATTATGATAGAGAAAACCTCACCTACCATCGAACTAAATCCTTCGGCTCATGGAGCCTTGTCCAATATTATGAGTCTCTGTTTTGCATGTGTTGAGACAAATGATCTGCATTCTCTTCTAATTTACAGGGGTGTGCTGGCAGCAATTGATGTAATCTCAAACAGTTTATTAGCCGGGGTAACCACGGCTTCCTTTTCATATTCACAGCCGACTAAACTTTTGTTGTCAAGTCAGTTCCTGTTAACCATGAAACCTGGTTTTTACCTAGCTTAACTTTGGTTCCTAATGCAGATCTTCTACTTTGTTGGCTTTGCGCTTTTCTGCTTGGAGTCACTTCTGAGTCTGTGGGTTCTCCAGGTAAAACCGATACAAATCTACCTGTTTTCTTCTATAAATCTTTGCTAGTCTATACCAAACCAAGACAACTCGCCAAATTCTTCCTTAATGTGTATTCACTGTTGGTGGGGATTTTTGCAGAAAATATACATCTACTTCAGGGGAAACAAGTAAAGAGGATATAATACACAGAACAGAGCAAATACCGTGCCCTCTGAGAAGGTTTGATCATATCATCTTACTACTGATGTAATTACCATTGTCTGCGATATAACAC